AAAATTATAAATTTCCTAATTTATCTATTGATTTGTGGTTAATATTGGTTCTCACAGTTACCACAAACTAATTAGTTTTCATTTGATTAGGCCCCTATGTATGTATATATGTATATATATGTATGTATATATGTATATATATGTATGGGGTTGGGTTCATGTGAGACCAAGGGTTTTTCATGAGACCCGTAAGACCAATTTATGTTCATTGATCAACTTTATAAATTAATGATCTAATGGTCTAAATTGCACGGTGGCAATTTTGTAATTATTGAGGAGTCTCATGGCATTTATGAATGTTCAAATCTGACGATTGTAGATCTAATCCAAGGGTTGAGAATTGGTCTTACGGGTCTCACATGAACCCAATTCTATATGTATGTATATATGTATATATATGTATGTATATATATGATATAGAGGCCCATTCAAGAAAGAATTGATTAGTTTGTGGTAACTGTGAGATCCAATATGAACCATTTGTTTAAGATTTTTTAAGGATATTTTTTAAATAAGCTAAGAGAATAATATAATAATTCTATTTTTGACAACTAATCAAAATATTTAATTAAACTTTTTAGAAGGAAATATTTAATTAAAATTAGTTACCTAGTATATCATTTACCTAATATACATCGTATTTTAAAGACCTTTGTGAATCAAAATGTATTATAGGGATAACGTTCACAATGTTTTACGTGTATTACAATTGTATTTTCTTTGTTTCTTATGAAATATATCATAGTGTGTATTTTCGTTATTTTCATTGTTTCACAAAAGGTATCACGTTGTGCATCTTGTATGTCTATCTGGGTATCACAGTGAATATCGTTTGTAGGTATCACAGTTTATATTGTATTCACATAAGGTTTATCGGAATAAGGTTCGTCGAATAAGATTCGTCGGAGAGAAAAAATAGAAGAGATGAGAGAGGATATCTATAAAATCCCTAAAATGTCCTTAATTAATATTTTGAGTTAAATTACCAAAATTATTAATTTTTCTAATTTAACCTTTGATTTGTAGTTGAGATTGGATCTTACGGTTACCACAAACAAAACAGTTCTCATTTGATTAGGCCCCTATGTATGTATATATATACACACACACACGACAAGGCAAATGATCGTATGAGAAAAAAGAGTTAAAGTGAGAAACATAAGAAGCAATCACTTTTTAATTTGATGCCCATCCATAAATTACGTTTTAGAAGAGAATCGATCTGATGCATCTCAATGCACCTCATCAGTATTGACATTCAATTATGATTGATCTAATGGTGGTTCTTATAATTTCCTTTATAACTTTTTTTCTCACCGAAACCCAACCCTACACGAAAAAATGTTCGTCAAGATCAATGGAGCTCGAACATAAATCAAAACCCTATTTTTTTTTTTTATCTCATGGAGAACCGTTAAAAAAGTATGACCAATTAAAAAAGATGGCCCAAACTGTTCATTTATGGTTTGGATTTTGGACCAGACCCGATATGGCCCGATTCAGGACCACCATCTTTTTAATATTATTCATAGTTGCATTTGCATCCACTAGAAACGACGTCGTTTCTGTTTGGTTAAGTTAACGATCAACATACCTGTTAAGGGGTTTACAAAGACCTGTCAATCCGAAAAACCCGTCCAACCCAACCCGCTAACAACCCAATTAAATCCAACCCGTCTAATCTTCAATCCGTCCATCCACTAAACCGCTAACGTGTTAATTAGGAGGGATGAAATTGGGTTGAGCCTAGTTCAACCCGTCAACCCACTGCTAATATATAATTTTTCATAAAATTTTATTTATATATATGTTTATTATATATATATATATATATGAATAATGTATAATGTATAAATTTTATATAATTTTTTTATTGATATTATGTTTGTATTTTATTTTAACTAAACATATGGGTTACCAAAAGTGATTCATGATCAAAGAATTATGATAAATAATCTAATTAATAAGAGAAATTTATTGAAACCTTTTTTTGCAGCAACAACAAATTGATATGTTAGAGAATATGAATAATATTGATAGATATTTGGTTGACGAATCAATCAATCTAAATACCTCGTCATTTTATGTTTAGTTGTAACATTTTGATACAACAACATTATATCTTATAAGATATCTAGAATGTCTAAGCGTCATAATGTAATACTTTATAGGAGGAAACAGGAAAAATGTCTTATCTAAAAGAGTTACAATATGTTTAAAGGATGATTTTGAACGCTTTAACAAATTCTATGATGCTTTTAAAATAAAATGTAGTATTAGTTATTTTATACGACATGACTTAAAAAAGTGTCATATGAACATAGATGTCCTATAAATAGATGAGTTACGAGACGCTTCTTAAAATATTTCTTTAAAATAACTAATACGATATTTATTTAAAGATCATTCTAAAACACTTGTTGAAACATCTAAAATGTTCTATAAATCTATTGTAATCTTTTTAGATAGATAACTTTATAGTATCGTCTATAAACTTAAGTTTTATGAAGTATTTCATTTGTCAAATTTTATATAACTACTAACCTGCCTCAACCTAACCTAACCTAACCTGCCTCAACCTGTAAATGTTGGATTGGATTGGGTTATACTTTTGAATGAGTTGATTAGGTTGAAATTAGGGGTGTTCAAAAATCTGACCAACCCAACCGAATCCAACGCGAAATAACTTAACCCGAAGCAACCCGATGTCTAATCGAGTTGTAAAATTTTCAAACCGTAGGTATTGGGTTGCTATTATTTGAACCTAACTCAATCCGATGAATCCGATATCCTTTTATTTTTTGGATTTTTAATATGATCGTTGAATTTATATTAATATATACATTAGACAGTTACACTATCGCGTACACTCTTCATATACACATATTTTTAATCTATTAACATTTCTATATAACTCATTTGTATATATGTTCAGTAAATGTGAACATATATATGTAAATTGAGAAAATTAACTGAATACGATATACGTAAGAAGTATGGATAAATTGTATCAAATGGTTGATGATGAAAATAAATTATGAGTAGAAAAATAATATATTCAAAATTAAAAGAATATTTTAATGTACCAAAATATCAACCCAACCAACCCGTACAAATTGAGTTAGATTGGACTAAATTAAATTAAGATTTTTCAAACCACAAACATTAAGTTAGGTTATTCAACCTATCCGCACCCATTTTTTAGTTGGGTTTTAGAAATGCTTTAAACCGCCCACCCCTGTCTCTCCTCTCTTTTTCTTTTCTTCCGTCACCCTCAGGATTCTCCCTCTTCTGCTTCTCGTAGACGTAACTTTTTTCAACCGCCGTCGATGTCCAACACGATTGGACTGTTGATCCCTCCGTCGGCGATCCGATTGAGCACCGCCACATAGCTACTTCCTTGGACAACTTGATTAACCATTCGATGCTACAATTTCTGTTAAAAGGTACTTACTGAATTTGACTGATTTTTTTTGAAGATTTGATTTGATATGATTGCTCCTATTTGCAACTGTTTGATCTCTGATTGGGTGCTAAGAAATTAATGGAAGTTGAAAAAAGGAGATACAAAGATTACATATAAACTGTAAATTTGGAGATTCCGTGATTGATTCATCCTAGAGGCGGAGAATCCACCTAGAAAATAATTAAAAAGTCTGTTGAAAAATAGATTAAAACAATGAAGCAATTTGAATATTGAACAGTGTATCATGTAAGCAAAACGTTTACTTATTTTTAGGGTTTGTATTTTGCAGCCTAATCTTTTTGAAAGTCATCGTTTTTCTGTGGTTCAATGGCTTCTTTCAACTCTTGTCCATCTGTACCAAGTGGAAGAAGGGCATATGATGTGTTCTTGAGCTTTAAAGGGGAAGACACTCGAAACAATTTTGTAGATCAGCTTTATGCTGCTCTATGGATATATACTTTCAAAGATGCCGAGATGCTTCGCAGAGGCGTGGCAATCTCTCCGGAATTCCACAAAGCCATTGAAGAATCAAGGCCTGCAGTGGTGTTTTTCTCAGAAAATTATATGAACTCTTCATAGTGTTTGGATGAGCTTGTAATGGTACAATTTCATTTTTATGGTTTATAATGTTACAATTTGATCTTTATTGTTATTAATTTTAATGGTACAATTTGATCTTTATCGTTATTAAGTTTAATGGTACAATTTTATCTTTATTAGGTATGACGGATAAAAACAATGGTCGTAAGTACCGAAATAGGTCAAAAATTGAAGACGGCAAACTTGTTGATGCATTGGTGAATATGGTCAATGTTGGAGGACACAAAGCTGATGATAATGACTTTAAATCCGGATACTTGCAACATTTGGAACAAGCATCGAAAGTGTCGCTTCGTGATTCTAGTTTATTAGGTAAATCACACATCAAGTCAAGAATAAAGACCATGAAAAAGGATCGGCAAATCATACATGATATGCTATATGGTATGAACACAAGTGGTTTTGGTTACGGTAGTTCTAAAATGTGTGTAACAACTGAGGCATCGGTTTGGGAGTCTTACCAGCAGTACATATTACTATGTATTACATATTACCATGTTAAGAATAGTTTTTCAACGTTTCTCTATCTTTTGCAAATTTAGGTACACAAAGAGGCTTCAAAATGGAGAAACAAACCATTTCCTCGTTATGAGGACTTGTCTTATGTTTTTTGAAAAGATCATGCTCGCGAAAATCAAGCAAGAGACTATGACAGTGTAGAAGAAAATGCTGACATGGAAGATAGCCAGATGTCTAGTCAAGAACAACAATCTGATGAAAACATGGACTATCCGACAGAAGATAGCCAAATGGCAAGTCAATACATCTCAAGGTAGTAGGAAGCGCAAAGGTCAAGGTGATCCTCTTGTTGATGCAATAAATAATGCTGCTCTCATACTTGGAGATAGACTTTTAAAAACATCAGACAAGTTGGTGCAAGTTGAGATGGATTTACATCAAAAGACTTCCGTGGTTGGTTCTGAACTTGTCAAAATGAATCTTACTTCAATGGAAAAGTTTACAGCACTGAGAAAAATAACACGTGAACCTGGATCCATGTTAAGCTTTTGGAACTATGAAGGAAAAGTTCGAGAAGAGTTTGTGAGGTATATTTTGCAAGAATGATTGTGTTTGATGGTTTAGCTCCTTTTTGAGAACTATGATGCTTAATGGCTTTTGGAACATGTATTTGAACATGCTTTGGTATTTTCGCGTCGTATTTCAATTTTTTTAATAGATTCCATTCCAATTATGTCAATTCCTTTAATAGATTCGATTCCAATTCTGCCAACCAAACATAACAACATTCCATTCCAATTCCTTCGAAGTCAAATTCCTTTGACAGATTCCATTCCATCCAAAAACATTATGCGAACCAAACGCCACCTTAGAGTTTTAGGTTTTTTCTTCGATGGAAGACAAGCAAGTGTGTGGGAAAATGTTTTCAATAGACTACCCAAAGCACCACGTGTTGAGATGACATTGAAGTTAAGTTTTCATGATTAGATGTTTCTGAGAAAAATATATTCCTAGACGTTGCTTGTTTCTTCAACACAAAGATAAAGAACATGTGACTAGAATACTTGATAGCTTCAATTTTGACCCATGATAGGAATTAGTGTTCTTGTCGAAAAATCTCTTATAACTGTTTCAAAGAAGAGGTTGGACATGCATGATCTCATACAGGAAATGAGTTGGCAAATTGTTCGTGACAGTTTTTCCAATAACAGGCTTTGGCAACTTGAAGAAATGCAGAAACAAAGTAAATCTCTCTCCCTTTCTCTCTATATATACATGTATGTATGTATATTTGTTTTTGTTTAAGGATGAGTAGAGTCTGATCATGGTTTAGTTCTTCGTTGCAGAAACAAAAAGCAATTTAAGCCATAGTTCTGCTGGACAAGTAATACAATGTTGACCAATATGATGAGAAGCTGGATTTAGCTATAAAGTTTTTAGAAGGCATGAAGAATCTCCGGCTACTTGATATTGATGCAAAGTTCCCGTCCCATAGACCTACCTTTCTCCCTGACGCGTTACAATGGCTTTGTTGGCATGGGTACCCATTTTCTTCTTTGCCTGTAGCAAGCATGCATAAACTTGTTGGGCTTGAAATGGTTGATAGCAGCATTCAACATTTATGGGAGGGGCGAAAGGTATTTAGTAGATGAAATTAGTTGCTTACAAACGAGTGAAGTTAAACCATGAGGGGTAGGTCAACTGGTGCGACCTTGGGTTTTGCTCCTCTGACCAGATATGAGGGTCGTTGGATGGTTTGCTTGGCTGTTAACTTCAGCCCCCATGGGATTAGTTGAGGTGCGCGCAAACTGACTCAAGACCCATAGTTACCAGAAAAAGAAAAAGGAAAAAAAGAGTGAAGTATGTTTTTCATGCATGCACATTTTCATAGATACACTAGTTTTTTTGTATTAGATGCCAATAAACTTTTGGGTTAATTTTATTCATTTATGTTTTATCAGATTCTACCCAACTTGAAATGTATTGACCTTAGTGGGTCGGATTACATAAAAAGGTTGCCAGACGTCTCAGGGGTCCCAGATCTTGAGGTTGATCTTAGTTGGTTATGGGAGTTTGGTGGAGCTTCGTCAGTCACTTGAATTTCACTGAAGGCTTGTTTACTTGGACATGAGTTATTGCGGGCAGCTCAAGTGTCTGTCATCCAGGATCAGGATGGAATCTTTAGAGACTCAAATTCTTTCCTATTGCCAGAGTGTTAAAAGATTCCAGAAGTCTCATCGTGGCCAAATAGAGGAACTGCCATCATCAACTAGATATTTTTCTGGTCTGGTCTTCTTGAATCTGATAAGCAGCACGAATCTTAAGAATGTTCCAAACTCCATTTGTGAGTTGAAGCATCTCAAGAACCTTTATCTTTACAACTGCAAGAAACTGCAGAAATTACCAGAAGAGCTTGGACATATGGAAACCTTAAAAGAGCTTTGGCTAGGATTCCCTGAGATGCGGTACTTTGACAAGTTTCTGTTCCTTGAGAATATTAGATCTTATTTGGAGATAAATTGAAGAGGAAGACTTCCCTCAAAATCTTCATCCCTTTTCCTCATTGGAAGAATTACATCTTTAGTGGCAACTCTAAATTAGCCCGGTTACCTGCTGGCATCTCCCATCTTTCTCGTCTTAAACTTCTAGACTTAAACAAGTGTTGCTGACTTCAAAATTTGCATCCTCCCCCATCAGGAATACAAGTTTTGAAGCCCAAAGGCTGCAGCTCACTGGAAAAATTGGAGATTTAACAAAAGAGTATGAATGGTTGTACAAGATATGGCTCTTTGATTGCCACAAACTTCTACAGGATCAAGAGAATGATGGATATATTGAAAAGATGTTGCAGCAGTCTTTCCTTAAGGTGACCAATCTCAATCTCTCTCTCTCTCATATCCTATTTATTTGTTGCATTATTTTAACCGAGGGAGACTCTACTTTCAACAAAATAGAGAAGCAAAAGTCATATACCCGACAATTTGAAATTTGGATCAAACATGATGGAGATTGTAGTAATACACTGATATACCCTACCCAACGATTTCCATGCTTTGTACCTTCATCAATTATCAGCGTTGATTCCAATGAACAAATTGGTCACTTGCACTACTTTCATGGATTGTTTGATTTCCTCCTACTGCAAGCATCTGTTCGTATAGAGTTTTTTCTGAGCCAGATTTTGGGTCACCCACTATGCAACTATATGATGCAAGCTTTCAATGGCTCCTGCTTTACATATTCTTTTGTTAGACACCACCTTCTAAGAAGGTGCAACGGTCGAGGGGCTAGGATTAGTGAGTAGGTAGTTAAGTTTTACATTGTTCCTGTAGTTGCCACTTATTTGTATTGCTTTTTCCTACTCATATCCATCTTGTCTAAATTTAAGCGTACCTGCTTTCTCTCTTTTGTACGCTTTTCACAAGCTAAGCTAGAGGTCTTCATATAAATGACCGCTATACTCTTTGCGTACATCTAACCCTTCTTAGACTCCACCCCCTGGTCGTATATACTGGACTCGTTTGGTTTAGAAAAGCAAAACTCAAAATCTCCAAAACATTTAGATTCAACTCTTCAACAGTTTTATTCATTTTGTAGATTCTATCATTTGATTATAGAGAATCTGTTCGCTCATATCTACAACACTTTCTGTATTCATCATGTAGATGTTTAAGTACCATATTTTCTCTTGATTACAGAAATGTGCTGCGGTAGATCATCAGCTAAGTATCGGTATTCCGAGAAGCAATATGCAAAGCTGGTTTGAAAAAAGGCATGGGTACAATATGGCATTGGAGCTATCTCCCAAATTTCATACTGAAATCATGGGGTTTGCAGTATGTGGTGCGTTTCAAGGGGGACTGGAAATACGCTCGTCCTAATATCATCTTGAGAATATTAAATGACGAAAAGGTCGTTCCTAAATCAGAGATTGATACTGTAACTGAAACATCCGATGATGATAATTTGTGGATTAGCTATATTCCATTTGGTCTTTTTCAGCAAATGTATCAGCAATTTCAACGTCAACATTGATCTCAGATCGATGATAATCTTGCCATGACTCTAACGACAATGGATGGTAAGCAATCTGTAAGATGTGGGGGCACATGTAGTGTACAAAGACGACGTAAAATTGATTCAACAACTTCAAACTCGTATATCTGATTATGGGAACTCGGTGCAAATTGATGACGGTTATCATGAAGAGCTAGATTATGAGAAAATGGGCTCCGCGAATACTTATGTGCATGAAGAAAGTCCGATGATGAGAACTCAAACCTATCGTCTCGGAGAACTAGAACGCCGGAAAGACTGCACTACAGCAGTAAGCATTGCTGATCTCACTTCTTGATGAATTGCATGTAAATTTGAATAAATTAGAACATAAGATTCAACATAGGATCCAAATAGAAGTTGTGTTTGCTGTATATGTAATTTGACTGATGACTTGTACTATATAAACGTGTTCGTAGAACACCGATGTTCGACTCGGACTCCTTCAAGAGCTCGATTGAATTTTTAGGAGTCAAGAGCTTTTAAAATGAGCTATCAAGTCAATAGACGAGTTTTTTGATCTGGAGTTCAAGTCTAGAAGTAAGCTGTAATGTATAACTCAAAATTGTTAAGCGAGGGTCAAGCACCAGTGCCGTTCCTTAGCATGTTAAATGTGAATGTTTGAACAGGGCCCCCGAAATTTTAGGGACCAAATTTACATGTGTTTAGGGTCTTTTTATCGTTTTACGTGAAACTATAGCCGAAGTTATTTAGGTTCAAACCATTAATGTTTGGTTTTAGGTTCAAATCATTAATGATTTAAGTTTAGTTTCAGATTGTTAATCGTTTTAGGTTTAGCCCATTTTTTCTTCTTAACATATATTATCTGTTATCTCATTTATTCAATGTAATAAAAGGTTTTGGATGTAGCAGAGCCTCCAAAAAGATTGGAACGTCCGTATCAAGCACGAGGCTATTTTGAAAAAGTTATGTGGGCTTGAACCAAATATTATTTTCTTGAGCTGAGCCCACATCGACTTGTTAACGCCTTTGGTTCTAAGTCATAGTAAAGGAACTCGTATGAATTTTATCCGGATCAAACATTATGTATATGGAAAAGATCCGGAGAAAACCTTGAAAAAACAGATGAAAAATATATCAAAATGAATGTCAAATTAAAGATAATAAAGTGACATATTTTAGGGTTTTCTCACGCCATCTCATCCCTTTATATATACACACTAGGTATTGTACCCGTTGAAATGTAAGGGGATGTAAAATTTGATATAAATCGAGAATCAAAAATTAATAAAAAATTATAACTAAAACACGTTGTCTAAATCAATAGTCATCTAAATCATCATCGCTTGAATTGATTTGGTTTTGAGTTGAAAAGACAACCATACAACACTCTTTAAGAAGCAGTAATAGAACGACCACAACATCGAGATTCACCATCTCAAAAGAACATCAAAGCGTGATCATCTAATTCAGGGACGGATCCAGATTTTTTTTTTCAAATGATGATATCATTTGACTATAAGAAACAAATATAGGGATATTTTTCACAAACTCATCATTGGTTTGTTGGTTAGTTCGTTGTTTCAGTTTCTATGTTCCGGTTTTTTACTACAATTCTTTTCAGAAACATAATAAATCTGAAATTAAAAGCTAGAAACAAGAAAATGACATCAATGAGATTTGAACTCGGGTCTAGGGTGGAAGAAAATCTTTGCAAATTAACTCTACCAAGAGAAGCTTGTGTAGGGATGGCAATGGGGCGGGGATGGGGCGGGGACCTCAATACCCGTCCCCGTCCCCGATCCCCCGTATGTGTCCCCGTCCCCGTCCCCGTCCCCGTCCCCATCCCCGCCGGGGATTATGATCACATCCCCATCCCCGTCCCCAACGGGGAACGGGGATCCCCAACGGGGAAAC